TTCAGGGGATCTCGTAGTCGAGCAGTCTCGACTAGAGCTTTCTTACTTGTTAGGTTAGAAATCAATTCAGAATATATGTATGTATGTATAAATTTTTTGGTTACAGATGATTCTAATCTAATGCTTTTGATTTTTTGTGATATCTGATATTTGGATCATGTGCTTCAATATCCAATACATACCGGCTTTCTCCTCAGTTCCGCCGCCGCCGTCGGCTGATTTTGCACCACTTGGCTCGTTGACACCGTTCTTCTCCTTGTCGTACTCACTGAAATCGTCGTCGAGCATCGCATCGATTGCATCCCAATCGATGATATCGATAGGTGCATCCGCATCCGCATCCGCATTAACATTCGTATTAGCATTTGTTGTTGTTGCGTTTGGTTCATTCGTGTTATTTGTATTTGTTGTTGTTGTGGTTGTTGTTGTAGTTGTATTTGTGGCAGTTGTTGTAGCAGTCGTTGCGGTTATTATCGTTGTCGTCGTTGTTATTGTTGTTGTTGCCGCATCATTCGACGATGTGTTTGTTGTTGCATTTGTAATGAGATTTGTGCATGTATTTGGTGGTTGTGGTTGTTGTTGTTGTGTAAGATTGATTGATGTTGCGTCATGGGTCAAGTTGTTGGCGTCGTTTGTTGTTGTTGTTATTGTGGTGGTATTGTGTATTGATGATGGGGCATGTTTATTGGGTGATGCGTTTGTTGTTGTTATTGGTTGATTAGCGACACCATGATGTTGTTGTTGTTGTTGTGGGGGATTTGCAAAAGAGGAAGAAGAAGCATTATTAGCATTATTACCATCGCAGACGATAATACCAGTAGCGGCAGCGGTAGCTGCGGCAGATGTTGCACCACCGCTCCCACCACTAGATTTCGTCAATTGTTCCGATGCCGATGCCAACAATCCGTTTACAGCGATGATGCCTTCTTTCCCTTTTTGCCTAATTGATTGTGGTTGTTGTTGTTGTTGCTGGTTGTTGTGAAATTGACTAACACTACTAACACTACTCGCTGCGTGGCTATTGTGATTGGTGTAGTGGCTACTGTTGTGATTGTTACTGTTGTATGTACCACTGTTCTGTGCACCGCCCCCACCAACACCACCACCGATCGCCTCCATGGGCGAGAAGTTGTGCGCGTTTTGCGCGCTAGGCGGATGCGGAAGATTGCGACGCCGCTTCATGTAGGGCGCAGCGGGTCCGTAGAGCTTTTGCTGGCTGGTGCGCTGCAGATCGAGAGACATGTGATTGCGAGCATCGACGCCACGACGGTGTGGACCACGGAAGAGGGAGGGTGCTACGCCGCGTCGGGTCCATCCCACATCCGAGTCGTAGGTGATGGTCACGATCTTGTCATCGGTGACCAAGAAATGCGAATGACTCAGCGGATTGGCGGCATCCACATTGGCGCCCATATACGACTGACGTATGTTCGTCTCTGAGCCGTATCGGCGACTGCTAGGCAACTGCTCCTCACAGGGGTGATAGGCATGCGGCATCAGCTCATGTGGGGCCACCTCGTCCTCGTAACGTATGCGCCGCCTGCCCCAGCTCTTTGTATGCAAATCATCGTAGTCCAGGGAACGCGACTGGCCCTCATGAAACATGCGCCGTCGGTCCAGCTTGGGCTTCTTCAGAATCGATGTGGGTTGAGTCCGTGCTGTAGCCTCTGCTATGGGCACCGCAGAAACGAGGGCATCCTCGCTTAGCTGTCGCGATAGCCGCAGCACGGATTGCGTGGGCAGTGGTGGAGGCGGCGCGAGCTGCGTGTTCGCTCGCCGATGAGCTGTCGGCGTTGGCGTGTGCACATGGTAGGTGGGTACCACGCCCAGATTGAGCTGCGGCCCGATCAGGCCGCCCACAAAATGCTGATCAACGCATTCGCCGCACATGGGATCCGGGTCCATGGTGGGCAGCGAGGGCTCTGAGGTGCTAGCCGGCTGATACATAGAGAGGGAGGGGCGACGCAGCAGCTGCTCCGCGCTATAGGGATATGCAATGGGCTTATGCTGCGGATGGGGATGCGCATCGGCCAGGCAACAGGGATCGGTGCAGGCGCCGATAGCCAAGCCGGGCGTCGCCAGAGCTGTGTTTGTGGATAGCACTACCGGCTGGCTACCGTTCTGGCAGTGACTGCAGCTTTTGTCCAGGTGATCGCGTACGTAGCCCACGTACGAGCTGGGCGAGGAGGAGACCGTGTGGGCGTGGTCGTGAGCAGACGCTGGTGCTGTTATGGAGCTGCGAAAGAGATTCATGACGGGCGTGGTATACCGCTTGAATTGCTCAAAGCTGGGCAGCGCATAGGTGTGATTCGCATGAGTGGTTGCGTTGGAGGTGGCGGTGGCGGTGGCGATGGTGGGGGCGTGGTCGAGCTGGCGTCCGTTGTGGCGTCGTTGGTACAAGTCAAGCGACGGCTGTATGAATGTGTTGGGCAAATGAGGTGAATAGTAAACGCTATGCGTATGCAAATGGGGCTCGAGTGGCTCGAGGTTAAGCGGCGTCTCCTCCGCCATCAGGGCCGGCTCCACGAAGAACTGCTCGATCAGCTCGCCGCTGTTTGTGTCCGTCACGAGTACCTGCTGTGGTGCGGTCATTGGCAGTGGTATAGTTGTGGGTGGTGGCGGAGCTGCAGATGTGGCACCGCTGAACCCACCCAATGCGGCTGTGTTGGGCGGCGAATCGGCGGCAGCCATTGCAGCCAGGTGCTGTAGCTGCTCGAGCTGCTCCAGCAGCAGAAGCTGATGGGTCCCGCCACCACTGGAGAGATAGTCGCAGTCGTCCACCTCGATGGTGTTCGCACGGTGGTGCTCGACGGGATAGACCTTAAGGCCGGTCACCGGGCCGCCAACGGCACCGCCCAGTATGCTATTTTGGGCGCCGAACAGATTGCGCCAGTTGCGTGGAAAGCTGATTTTGATTTATTTGGTTGTTATCGGTGGCGGGTGGTTGGATGGGTGGTTGTTCGGTGGTTTTAATGTGAGCCAGTGTCGAATTTGTTGTGTTTTCGTATTTATTTGCATTGAATGTACATGTTAACAGCATGCGTTGTTAACATTTACGTTAACAGCCCAGCGTATGGTGGGGTAATTTTGGAGGTGAATTTGAATTTTTTAGTTTGTGAGAAATTACAAACGATCGTCGGGAAATGCAAGCGCAATGGTTGGCGTCCGAGGTCAGCGAGTGTAGGTTTGTGGTGGTTCGTTTGTGTGGTGAGTTATTGTGATTGTAATTGTGTGGGTGTGTGTTAGTGTGTTTGGAGTGAGCGAGTGTGGTGAAGAGCACGCAAAAGCAGTGAACACAAAAGAGAGAGCAGCGCGCGTCGAGCGTTGGTCGATTTTTTGTTTATCGGTTTTATTGTTTTCGTTAACGTTTTTGTTGGTTTCGTTTGGTAAGAAAAACACAAAAAGTAAATGCAGAAAGAAAACTTTATGTTTTTTTTTCGGATTGCCTTGCTTTTGTTAACTGGTGTATGTATCTGTGTGAGTTTCTTTGTGCGTGTCTTTGGTGTAATGAGTTAAGCGCGGATTTCTGATTCGCAATTCAATTTATTCAGAGACTAATTAACGGGGAAATTTTGGATTTTGTAGCCTCTACTCGAAAAAGTTTTTACCAATACTTGTGTGTAGCCCACAATCGTAATTTCAGCATAATTTTGGCAGCTTTGCTTTGGCATGGCTTGGCGACATTAACGAAGCCGACGCGAGTGTAGCGAGCCAGGCGCCAGCTTTGTTGTAGCTCAGCGTCGCATCGAGCTCTACAGCTCGGCCAACAACTCACCTGAGGCCACGTGAGGTGCGCGGTCGCTCCGACTGCGTAGAGAACGCACTCGAGGTCACACTGACCACCGACTCCATGTCTGAGTCACCAAACTCGCCCATAAAGTCCTTGTCCGGCGACAGCGAATGCCTTGGTCGCATCCGCGTGTCCATCGACTGCAGATCACTATCTGAAAGTCCCGTATAATGTCGTTCCCAGCCACCCATGCCGGTGCTGCGATACGTCGCCTGATGGTGCGGCTGCCGTGTGCGATGCCGGCCAAAGCGGCTGCCCGATGCCAGCCGCTCGTCAAAGTCCTGACCCAATCGATCGCGCAACATGGCGCTGCGAGAGGTTTGTGGCACCTTCGAAGAGAGTAATCAATTTGTTATAGCCTGAGCACTATATGAATAGGTGTAATTGGCCAGCAAATCTTTAGTCGACAGAAATGCTTTTAAAATTATGCAGCCCTAGACACAGCCACAGTGGCTGTGTATTTCTCACAGAAACCTAATTTTAGCTACGTTATAGTATTCAAGCTACGCTGAACTACAATTTTTAGGTATTCCGGGTACAATTTGTAAGAAAGCTTTAGTTGAGATGCCTCCCTGGAAAATATTTCGACTTTTAAGTAAATGCAACTCTATGTTTACTAATGCAGAAAAACTTAAAAAGAATTTTGACCAGAAAAAAATAGGTCCGTGACATTCAAGTTTGCATCTTTATAATCAAATAAGAACAGAATTCGAATACACAACTCCGAGGTGACTGATTGCAACTGCAGATCCCGAAATACTTCGAGTTCCGAATAATTGGTTACAAAATAGACATAAAATTAAACACTAAATGTGGGGAGTCTGCCCTAAAGCAGTACGAGATATATTGTAATAACTAAAGAAATAGATATTGATTTATCTGTATTAAAATATAATATGGTACGGAAAAGTAAAAGCAAAAGATGTTAACCAAAGATATATATAATTAGCTGGGACTGTCAACCTTAGTCTATAATTTACCTGTGGCAGTTGTCGTTTCTTGGGCGATCCCGTAGGCGTGGCAGTGGCAGAACGAGACTGGAAACGCTGCTGCTGTGGCGTCTGTGCCGCCGTCGAAGCACTGTTGCTTCCGCCGGCGTAGGCCGCGGCGTTGGGTGAACCGTGAATTGGAAGCACTGGATAGTCAATGTAACGATCGTCGGGCGGCGATAGCGATCCTCGCCGCGGACTGCTGCTCCTGTAGCCGTAGCCTGAGCCTGGATGTCCTTGATGGCCGTGATAGTTGTCACCGGGAGCTGCCGAGTGGCTACGCTGGCTCAGGCTAATGCCACCAGGTCCGATGGCGGAACCGACACCATTGGCACCGCCTCGTCGGTAGTAGCCCGTTGCAGAACTCTGATGTGACCGCGAGAGAGCAGAGAAAAAACATTACATACGTTAGCGACCAACGATAGAGGAGGGAATTAGCTTCAGGCTTTAACCGGCCTGCACTCAGGTCTGAAGTCCGGCATCCGCGAGAGCTTACGGCTAGGCATACACATACAAGCGTATACATGTATGTATATAGTAAATATACATACATGTATAGTAAATATATATATATATAAATATATATATATATTCTTATAAATATATATATTTATATATATACTTGTGAGTGGAGTAGAGTGGCTTTGAAATTCATTCAAGTTCATAATTCAAGTGTGTGGGTGTGCTTGCTGTTTAGGTGTAAGTGTGGTTTGATTAACTGTTACTGCAATTCTACTGGAACACGGATTATTAGTACGTGAATGAACGGAGGTAATTACAGTTAAGTAGTAAAGGCATACGGAATAAGTATGTATACTTAGCAAGAGAAATCGAAACAAAATCAATCAAATACACATGGAAACAAGACTCCGATCTCCAATCAGTCGGGAACAGAGCAAGGCTGCTTTGTTTGGAGACTGATAAAAGCATCGATATAATAAAGGCTTGAGTTTGTATATGTATATAAACAATTAGTTGAGTTATGTTAAGTAGTTTGATTAGTAATAGTAGTAGTAGTAGTAGTAATAGTAATAGTAGCAGTATTTGTATAACGAAAGTGCAGAAAACTGTAGGCCTGGCTGACTAGCAGTAGCTAACTAGATGATGATATATGAAAGTGGCCTATTGATTCGCTTGGAGCACTTTATCCATTGCTCGGACTGCCTGTGTTGTGTGTGTGGCTTACAGTGCGCTGTCTGATCTGTTTAGATCGGTTTGATGGAGTGTTACGTTAATTTAGCTTAGGTGCAAACCTGATTGTGATAACTTTGTCCAATGCCAGATACTGTGCGATAATCTCTGGCCATCATTCCGGCCACCCGTTTGCGGCCCTGGGGCGACATGTCACGTCTGGATCGACGCTCATTTAGATCGAGCTGAATTATGCGAGTTTAACGATTTGTGGATGGGACCAATTCGGGTAGCATATTTCGGATATACATATAAAATATATATATATATATATATGGATATATATATTTATATATATGTTCAGCATATAACCAACGGGGAGTTGATAGTGTGTGTGTGTCGAGTAAATATTTAAAGAAGAAAGATACAGAGCAAGAGAACAAGAGGAGCAAATATACATATGTGATCAAAATGAGCGAAAAAGTAAATCAAATTGGAGTTGAGTCAACTTATACATTGCATTTGTGTGTCATATAAATATATATACGCAAATTGTGTATATATACTTATGCATATAGTCTATATATATATGTGTAAACGGGCGGGTCTAATGGCTCAAATGGATCGCTAAGTCATTGTTTTTTTCTGTTTTTGTTTGGTAGCGGGGTATATTACAAGAGAAATGATAAGTCCAGTGATAATCAGCAGTACTAAAAACTAAAAGCTACGATTACAAGCAGATACAGGTAGGGCGTTGGCATGCAAAAGCTTAGGGACTAAAGGCCAGAGGTGCAGCAGATAAATAGATTATAAGTTGTTCTTTTTTGTGACTTGTTGCAAAGTTGAGTTTTGAGAGTTTTTCGGTCTTATCATTATTCATTTAGACAATGTTAAATGCTGCCTCTTGGACAGTTTTATGCAGTTAGTATGTGTTCTCAAGTATTTATGTTTACACGCATCCTTAAACCTAAATCATTTTTCTTACAAGACTTAAACTCTATGTATAGATTCGATCTTAAATGCAAAGATTATTGTTAGCTAAAACTTGATGCTTATGACAACAAAATTAATTTATAAAGATAGATTCGATAGCGCAGAGCCTTCAAATGTTACGCGCTGTTTCAGAGTTTTGGTTTTTGTTTTAGTACACATAGATGGAGAGCTGCGATCTTAGAGTAAGGAGTTCAGAAATTAGAGTTTAGAGAGTGAAAAATTTAACACGCACGCACAATGAAACAACGACACCAATTGGTAATAAAAAAAAAAAAAAAAAAAAAAAAAAAAAAAAAAAAAACAAAAAAAAAAAAAAAA